CGTACATATGCATGTATGCCCCCAAACCTTAAAAGAAAGTCAAGCTGTAGTAAAAGATGTAGCAAAACATTTGCATGAGAATACGAGCCAGTGCCGAATAGAGAGAGAGGGAGGGGCTTCATTTACGTGCGCCAACAAAACCAGTAAAAGATTGAATTGACTTTGCTGCGCAGCACAACGAATTCATCGGCAAAATGCTTATCTAGTGCCCACAGAATAAGAATAAGAAACAGATTGCAGTAAAATCTATGCCACACATGGACTCACGGCGACCGCCTAAGCACCGTTCTATCACATTGACAATGACATATACGACGACGGATTGTTTTTATTCGTTTTGACATTTGCGTTTGCGCATATTTGACAGATGAAGCATGCGGCTAGTGTGATGTAATGTGATGCGGGTTGAATGCATAGAAGTTACTGACATTAATTGGTATAAAAAAATTTTACAACTAGCAACAAAAAAAAAATAAATTAAAATAGATAAAAATGTAATGCAAGTAGTATTCGTACTCGAACGTTGGTAATCTGAGTGCTCGCTGCTGCGGAAGTATCCAATTAATTTTTTCATTTCTTTTCATAAAACTTTTTTTGTTTTTTATTTTATTCGATTTGTTTGATAATGCTGCCTCAATTTAATGTTTCATGCAGTGTCACATGCACACGTACACACATATAAAGTAAATAGTATTTAAACGAACGTGCTGCCATATATGTAAATATTTCAACTCGGTAGTGGGTTGATTCAGCAGCGTAACCAAACACATTTTGACTTGGTAGCCCTTATATTCGAAATTTTTATTAGTTTTCATCACGATTTTGGGGAGGAAGAAATGCTTGACTGCTACCAGTATCTATGTTGTATGAGCGTTAATTTCGGTAGCTGCAATATGCAGGGTTTTGGTTAAAGTATGTCATATAAATAACTACCTAGGCTGTTCAATCAATGGAAAATGTCACTGAACTATGAAATTGTTATTATAATGAATTGGGTGTGCGATGACACATATGTATGTACAAATGTAATTCGAAAAAAAAGAAATCAGTTTTATGGCTATCTCTTTACCAGAGATAAGATAAAGGCATATTTTTTCACAAGAACATCGAATGAAAACTTTTATAGTTATATTGTTGTTGTTGTTGCAGCGGCTACTTAACCTAGCCTAGCCACCGAACTTACATAACTAACAGCGGGGTTGGACTCGGATTTTAAAATGAACTGGTTAATGGGGATCGTTCATTCGAAAAACGCTTAAAAGCGATAAGTAGGCACGTCTCTTCTTTGGCTCTTGGTGGTGAACGAAATTATAAAGGTGTTTAAAACTAAAAGAATAAGGGTTGTCGCCTATGCCGAAAATTTGGGGATAATCATCACTGGCAAACTTTGTCAAAGATAGATGAGCTGGAATGTAATGAAACGAAATTGTGGGTTGCCGGAAAAACCAAGCACTCAAGCAGTATTGTCCATTGTACTTAAGCCCTAGAGACAGGAATTACAGGAGGGAAAGAGAATCTATATCGTTCATTCTTATTACATCCGACCCAAAAATGTTTCATATAGATAAGTCTGGCGAAGGCCGGACAGCGGCAGATAAAATGCTCTGTTCCATCCTCATCCGCCAAACAAGATGTACACAGTGGATCGTCGATGATGCCTATGGTGACCGTATGTCGTCCTTATGGATTGTGCCCTGTTATCAGGGCTCGCGTTACTCCTTTGTCTAAGAAAGACTTTTGCTACCACCCTGTCAGACCTTTTCACAAAACACTTGGTTGTTTTGCAGGCGTCAATACCACACCAATGGCTCTCATAAGTTTTATTTATGAGATCCTTGATGTACCGGATCGTTCCCGCTATGCTTGAGCCTAAAATTGTCCCCGGTCCAAAAGGAATCTCCAAAAAACCGCAGTTCGCCAATTCATCAGCCAGTTCGTACAACCTTGAACAACGTAGTGTCCTGGCACCCACACAAGTTCAAGCTCATTCCACCTTGTAACGGAGTTCAACTTCAACGAATAGACCTGGGCTTTCTTTGAAGAAGTGCGAGCGGTTTTCAAGGCCTTTAGATCAGATTGGCTCTCATTTTATTTTTATTTATTTGTTTATTTATTTATTAAAATTATCCAGTCGGCCACTTTCAGTATTGCAGAGACGTCCGATTGAAAGAGCGTTGCCATTGCACCCAAAGCAGTAAATCGTCGGAAGTTACCGCCCAGATGCCATCCAGCTCCCATACCGTTTTCAGTCTTTGAGCCGTCTGTGTAGAAAGTTTTCACCGCGCTTCCCAAGAGAATGTCTGGATCTCTCCATTGCCACCGTGTAGGATATATAACGACGTACTTTCTAACAAAGGAGACTACAGGTATCGGTTTGGTGTTGCTCTAACAACCTTCTTAACAACTCTCTGTGCCTGGAACTCCGATCGTCGTGTCACAATCCAAAGGAATGCAGTCGATAAACACAGTTAGCAAATCTCCTAGATGACATGAAGTAAATCCAGCTTATCATTGTTTCGTTCACTTCAAGTCTTCTGGGCGCAGAGTACATACATAGAGTCAAAGGTAGCGTTGTCAAACGCCCACTCAATTTCATCAAAGGCTCACATTGTGTTCTAATGAAAACAAAAGTTTACCAGAAAAACAAAAGTTCCCACTTTTACTTTTTCTCTGCCGATATTAGGAGAAGCTATCCACCGAAGCAAAATACCTCGGAATCATTCTTGATTCCAAGTTGAGTGGAAAATAATGGGGCCTGGCACCGTACATCACCTGTGCTTTGTAAACCACAGTCATCAGACCATTTGTATCCAATGGGTCCTTATTGTGGTGGAGAGTTCAAGACAAAGGCATGCAGAAATACTGAATAAAATAAAAAGGGCGCCGCTTCCCACTAGTCTTTGCTCCAACTGCTGCCGGTGGGCGATTTGAGGACTTTGTTGCGGAGCTCTACTTCCGTTTTTATTGAAGAATTTTCACCGTCGGAATTGATACGCCGCGGCCTGATAAGTCAACGTGAATACTCTTTCTTCCGGCTGCTTAAAATTGTGGACAGAATGTGGACTCTTAATTTGGTTTCATATGTTTGAATATGACTTAGGTTCGCTCGTGTGCAAATCATTATATTGAACTCCGAACCAGGCGGTGTTTATGCTCAATTGTCTAATCCGTTGGAATACGCCCGAGAGACCATCTGTTTCTTTTAATAGTCTTAATAAGTACTTAGGTTTCGGATCCATTGTTCTTTGGATGTAGATCGCAGAGAACATTATTATGTCTTAGAAACCAACGGCATAGTCTTCAGTTGGTTTATAAGAAATTGCGTGTAAGTCATCTCAGTGTAAACTATACTATACCAAACTATATGCGAGCAGTGTAAGGCAACTTTAAATGACTAATTGACTCCTTATTCGGATAGGAAACACCCTTTAGGTTGCCGAGGAGTTCCAGTGTTGCCACATTTTGTCGCTGAGTTCGTTTCTAATTATTCGCCTTAAAAATGATGGCTGCCCTATGCTTTTAAGTTTGACAAGAGGTCCCCTGTTCATGTCGCTTGACTGTCTGTCAAGGTTTTTCAAAAACACTGCAGGAACTAAGTCTGCGTCAATATAAGATCGGCAGAACCGAAGTTTATCAAGTCAGAAGTCAACTGATTTGGCTCTACAATGAACTCTACAATGTCATATTACCGAGATAAGGTCGACCTTATTTCTCCACCACCTTTACGTAGACCCAATATCATGGCATGCTTATTTATTTTTAGTAAGTTCCGGGAGCAAAATTGGAGCGCTGTAAAAAAGAAAGCGCTCGGCTATTCCAATGGTCATCTTCTGTTCGCTTACCGCTTTAAAGAATCTGCACCTCAAACAACTTGCAAAGTAGTCTAGCTTTCTGAGCTGGGTCGTTCAAAGTAAGTCAAGTCTTGTAGTTGAAGTTTCGTCATCCTCATTTCCAATTCGAAAAATTTGTGATCAGTCCAAATTGTGTACTGCGTTCTAGTGCCGTTGTCCGAGGAGTCTTTTGTGTTAAATATACTAGTGGCTGCAAGTGCCATACAAAATGTCAAGATGATCGAGTTGAACGTACATCAAAAAATATGTTTTGGCACTTTACTAGTGGATCTGAGCTGACACATGCGGCATCCTTGCAGATTTTTCCAATGCGATTCGCTTGCGGCAATAGGCGGTTCCTATTGTATAGTGCTCGGCCACGACTTCTGGCGTGACTGAGAGTTGACGGTTAGCCAGCTGAGCAGGCTCCGCTGATCGCCAGCTGCATACTACCGCTCTTTGAGCCGACTGAAAGCCTACTGGCCACAAGCTGCCTAGCTTATTCATCATTCAAGGTCGCTGTGTTTTGGAATCATAATAACCTTTAATTGGAAGAAATCCTAGGTGTCACAGAGAGATGCTGTATGCCCTTATCCGATCCGTGATTCTATAATCCTAACGCGTTAGCTTTCAGAGTAGATATTTACCAGTCGGCTGTCTTATATACATTACCTTTGATTGCAACGCTTTAAGCTTGCGGATAGGACAGACTTCTTGACGGAACACACCTCCTCCGACCGTAGCATCCAACTTCGATCGTCTTTGAAAAAGTTTATTAGATCTGTGCCCAGAGGCTGTCATTCTCCCATTTACTTCTAGTAAGCAAGGGCGTAGATAAGAATTGAATCGGAACCAGCTTTGGGATGCACTGATCCGTTGCTTTAGTTTTCAAGTCGAAAGTTTGCGTAGATCGTCGAATGCTCGTATGCCGGGTTTCAGAAATTTCATTTTTTACTCTTAAGTTCTCTCAAATAAATAAGCCGTAGACTCTCTGCGTGCACGGGTCGTTGGGTCCGCATTTGTATTTGCAAATTATAAGCAACATTTAGTGAAAGGAGGTACTAATTTGTCGCCTTTTGTTATTATTGATGCATTTAATAAATTGCTTGTTTCAGATTTTTTATACTTATTTTTACTGATTCCTCCATTTTACTGTCTCTCTCATTGCAGATGATTTACTAGCGTCACCAACGCCGTAACAACTGACCGCGGACAGGACTTGTGAACGGACGCTGACAGCGACCACTGCAAAAGAAATTCCATTGGACGAACATTCACGACCAGCCAATTCCAAAGGCTCTTCTGCATAAACCTCTCGAAAAGAACAATGAACTACCCCAATGTTGTCCTTGATTCGTGTGTAGCAACTGTGTGAAGTGGAACCAGGCAATTGGATGAATTTTTCTACGCTTTGACGCGTCTGCCGCATCGCTGCGCTGGAGAATAGCAGTCACATACTCGCAACGAGTGCACAAGCCACGTCACAAACTCGAAATAAAAAACAACACAAATTCCTAGCGTGGGATGTCAGAAAAATTGCGTCCGTCGAAATTAACAAGCGGAAATGTACATGGGCAAGCAAAAGTAGTAAGAGAAGCAGCAACAACAACAAAAACAATAACGACCACGACAACCAGACCCAAAACGGGCAAAGCATTAGCAGCTGAGTTACAGAAAATGGCCAGCAGCCATTCCAACAGCTGCGGCAGTACCACCACCACCACCAATACAGTGCCACATATTGGCGCACCCACTTTGATATCGACTACATTGCAGCAATTACCGCATCCAACGACGACACCCACAACACCCACCCTGCAATCGCTAAGCGGAGGTGGTGGTCGAGTAGGCAGTGATGCGGATGCAGCCAACTTCCATACATCGAATGCCGCCACGGGCAGTGATACCGAGTCCTCGTCGGATTATAATGCTGGTGGAGCTGCAGTTAGCGCGGGTGGCGCTGGTACACAATTAAACTTTCATTTGTTGCCGGATGGGGGCGCCGCTGGCATTACTGGCGATAGTAATTCAATAATGAACTCATCACAAATATCTGGCAACTCCAATGAGTCGATGCAGTTGTCGAGTAGTCCAGCTGGTGGCGCTGGCGCTGTGGCAAGTATTGCCGGCAAGGCGGGCGGCGGTGGCAAACATTTGGCCGCACACAGTGTGGCAGGGGTAAGTGCAATCATGGATTTGATACGATTTGCTTGTTTTTTTTTTCCTTCTGCGGACTTTATTGCAAACTTTGTTTATCGCTGCCGTTATTGGCTATTTAATGTGGCAATTAAATGTAGTGTGCTCTTAGGCGTGTGTAATGGAGTTGAGTGTGTGCGCGCGTTGTATGAGTAGAGTGGCTACAGTGAAGTGTGGTTTTAGGCGTTGCAAGTGAAGTGCGAATTTTCATAGCATGTAAAAGCGCTTTTAGCGCAGAAATCACCCATTTTCGCCTTTTATAAAATTTTTATCTCGTTTTTGAATTAAACGCATACATATTTGTTTAACTTAATCGAATTTATTTATTATTAATTATGTTCGAAGCCGCTTATCACCCAATTGACTTCCCTCGCCACACAAAAAATCTCGACATTCCGATTAGTGTAGACCACTCTGTTTACATCCAATTATCCGTCAGTCCAATTAAACATCGCATCTTCGAGGCTCGTAGTGTCTGAGTTCTTCGGACATACCACATGGACCTAGTTCTCCGTGCCGGCCCACAGATTTATACTGTCGACTCGGACAAGCGCCTTTTATGCAAGAACGTGTTCAAGGGTCCATGCAAACCATTAAAATAAGAGGCCCGAAATCCGGGTTACCTACGGTAAAACCNGGACAAGCGCCTTTTATGCAAGAACGTGTTCAAGGGTCCATGCAAACCATGAAAATAAGAGGCCCAAAATCCGGGTTACCTACGGTAAAACCATGTTCCCAAATGCACTCATATTTGACCGGATTCTTGGGCTATCATCTCAACGGTCTTGCTACCTCCTCCTCACACACTCGTATGGGGCAACTTGCTCTCTAAATAGCAAACAGCCATGCATTCGCATCCACTTCATTAGCTAAGGACTTCAGCATGCTGTATGGCCACCAAGCCCTCCTCAGCAAGTATCTGTCGAAACAGTGCGGCGTACAAGCAAATAGGCTACCAACCAGCGTTGTTACACGTAGGGACAATTTCCTACTTATGGGATAGATATTTTAAAAAGATTTAAATGTAGGGAATTCTCACCAAAGTTATAAAAGAAGAATTATTAGTTTTCGCAGTCAAACTGCCGCACTCAGAGTTGTTTAACCCTTCTGCAGTGTTTGGAATTTACCCTTTTGACCCAATGAAAGAAATTAGTCAATGTTAAGATAGAAAAAAAAACGATTTTTCAACATGTATTCAGTTAATATTTTATTTATCACATGCAGACAATTTATCGGTAAGTACTGTATGGTTACCGGTCTAAAGTTGCCTTTAAATACTAAATAATAATTTGGGTTAGAATTACACTGGGTGTGTATGTAAAAACTATGCCGCCTTCTAGAAAACAAAATAAAATAAACAAGTTTTATTTTTTTCAAAACCATAGCTGATTATTAATTAAAAAATTATTTCATGTAAATTGGGTCATTTTTATCCGATCATTGCAGAAGGGTTAATTATTACTTAATGTGTTCCTCAGTAAAGATTTGAAAAGTGCCCTCTCAGACACAGTTATAAATATAAGTTCACATAACGGTTGTTTGTAACAGCCAAAACGAATCGAGATAGATATAGACAAATGTATACATAAATGATCAGGATGAAAAGAGATATCGATTAAGCGGTGACTGTTTGTCCGTCCGTCCGTCTGTCCGTCTGTGCACACGATAACTTGAGTAAAAATCGAGATATCTTAACGAAACTTGGTACGTGCGTAGGACGGATGATATTGAAAATGGGCAAAATCGGACAATAACCACGTCAACCTTCCATATAACGGTAATTTTCAGAAATGCTAAAACTGCGATATTTTAGTAACTACTCAAGATTATTCACTCAAAATTGATATTTACAGTAATTTTCAGACGAAAAATACGAATATTATACATTTTTTGAAAATGGGCGTAGCCGCGCCCACTTATGGGTACATGTGTATATCTTGGTAACCGCTGCACTCATTTCTTCCAAACTTGGCATAGTTGTTGGCCTGGGTATAACATACGAAAGTTTTTAAAATCGGACAATAACCACGCCCACATCCCATATAACGGTAATTTAGAGAAATACGAAATCTTCGAGATAAATCAGTAAATATTAAAGCTAACACTGGTCTACAAGGGTTTTGCGAATAAGACGGGACCTGATGATGAACGTGATGGGACATTTTTGACCCCGGATTCGTGTTCAGCACGAAAAATCCGTTCAGAAACACCAGGTCCCGTCTTATTCGCAGAAAAAAAGTTGAAATTTGTAGACCAGTGTAATTTATTCAAAATTGATGCTTGCAACAATTCTTTACCACATATATGTATCTCGGTAACCGCTCTACCAATTGGCACCAAACTCTGTGTGGTTATTGTGCTTGCCACACAAAAGCCAAACGTTGAAATTACGGCCGCTTTTCATATAACGGTAAATTTCAGAAATGCTTGAAACTTCAATATTTCGAAATTTAAGGACGCTAATTTACGCTTACCATGTTGCGACGGGTATTTAATGTTCGGCTCCGACCGAACTTAGACTTTCTTACTTGTTTTAAATTTCGTTTAAGTTTTAGAATAGCTATTGATAACAGACAAACAGAAATAATTAAAATAAGTTTACATATTTAGAGGTACCAGAATAAAGACTCTATTTTAAAATTCCGTTCTTTCCTTAACTTGCTCTATTAACAATTTCATATTTTCGTGATGGCTCGAAACACTCTTATTATATGTATGTACATAGCTGACACTCGAATTCACCAAGTCTATGGCGTTCAAACAGTTTTTAAAGGTGTTAATTTTCGTCTCCTTTCCTGCTTTTTTGCACCCCATACATATGTATTTCATTTTCTCACTGCAATAGCTGCAGTAACAAATATTTACCCATTAAAGTCTTATAGCCTTAACGCTTTAATACGCTTAACACTTAACGCCTTAAACTATGCAACACTTTAATTCTATACTCGAACATAGCGTGGCATGTCTGTCTATGCATATGCATGTATGTACGTGTTTATAGTAAGTTATGTTGCTGTCTCCACAATCGATCCACCCACACACACACACACACACAATTTTCTCAACTCCACCCACAAGACCGAAAGGCATTCAAATAATCTGGTAATTTTCCTATCACCACTCCACTATGGCGTCCTTAATATTTTGCTGTCTCTACTTGTTTTAATATTCCACTAGCGTTTAATTTGTTTTGCTGGCTCTTCATGTTGCCAGCGTCATGTTCGTGTTTCCCTTCGTACTCCTTTGTAGTATGTACTTAGGTATTTTTGCCAAACATGCTTTGCTCTGCTTTGGAATTCCAATTCGCCTTGCGACACAGAAGAAAATATGCTCGTAGAAAAATACTACAATGTGTGTATGTATGAGTAAGTTTTTCCGGTATTGTCTGCTGATCGTTTTTCCTTGCCTCCTTGCCTTGTATGTAGCTTGGGCGCATATAAAAATTTATTGCATTATAAAAAATTCTGGAATTTATTTCCTTGGCTCACTTACTCAGCAAATTTTAGCACTTATGAGTGCCAAGATACTTGCCTTATGTAATGTCGATGTGCTATTTGAAAACCAGATGCTTGTTGAATATTTTATGCGCCCAAAACTATGCATCAGCTTAGCTATTTGCTATATAGTAGCCTTGAATGTCGGAATTAGAACGGAACGAAAGATTTTGAAGAGTTCATTGAATTCCAGCGAAGCAGTTAACTGAATGCTGTTGAGTGAGAAAAATGTGTACTTGTATTTATGTGTATACAGTGAAGGACTTATAAGTAAGGATGGAGAAAAAATAATTCGCATGCGTGGCATATGTCAACTTGACAGAACTTCTAAAGTACGATTTTTTTAATCAGTCGTAGAAAATTTTTTTATTTAACTAGTCTGAAAAAGAAAAAAAAACCTAACTACATACTAATTAAAGCGGTCCGTAATGTACAATTTTCTAAAAGTTACCTTCTAATTAAAGTAAATTAGGTTACTAATTCATTAACCTCCACTGTATCTGTACTACCTACCATGTAGTTAAGCGTAATGCGAATACGATATTATTGCGCTTTGGCAAGTGTTATATATCGCTCCAAGGCTGAAATCATTACTTTTTTAAGTGAAGCGTTTGCAAATGTCGCATTGAGCTGAGTTAAGACGAGGAAGGCTTTTAGCTCGGAATTGGTTTGACTGAATGCTGTTGCAGCATTGAAATGCAATCATTACGAGTTTGAGAGGCAAATATGAATCAAAGTTGTCGTTATAGTCTTATCGTTACCACACATCTGATTGCTTCTAGAAAAGCATGTATCCTACTGAGTGCTGGGATTTATGTATAACCTCTCTTTCTTGCACCAATTGTTGAAAGTTCTATCTAGAGCGTCTTGCATCAAGTCCCTAATGATCCTTTTATGATCGCCATTGATTATGTTGGACAGAGTAGATCGTCAATCAGTATAGACCATAACAGTGCAGATAGGACTTTGCCCTAGGGACAGCCTTTTACGTTGCTATCTCGTGATCCTCAGTTCTTCCGGTTCCCGCGTGCAAATACCTTTTCTATATCACCTACAATAGTGCGAAGTGCTGTAATTATCGACTTGCCTTCGTGTTAGGCAAATTAAAGTTAATGTAGTGGAGTCTGCGAAAGTATCTCCTCCGTCAAATGAAAAATTACTTTCTTACTTCAAATCGGTATAGCTGTATGTAGCACGTCACCCAACCGCAATCATAAGCGGTTATGTCTCTCAATTTGCACAAATCGATTCGTGTCTGACTGAATAAATTGCATTTCCTTCTTCCATTGGGCAATCAGACAGAATTCGTTTGAAAGGAAGAAAAATTAATATTACTTTTTTCTATTCAACGCAACCATTCACTGTGTGTGTGTGTGTGTGCAATACTATCATAACTCCCTGTCTAAATGTCTCAATCGGTTTACCAATGTGTAAACACAAATCCCTCGATGTAGTATATATATTCTGGTATATAGTTTATAGAAAAAT